GGTTTCGTAGAGGGGAGGACCTGTAGTAAAATCAATCATCTGCACACAACCTCGCCTAGAGGGCGTACGTGAGCAAACACACAGGCAATATCAGTCGGACTAACTGCTACGGAATCAACGCCAAAGGAATCTCTACGAAGTGATTTTTTCACGGTTCCAGAAAGACATGGCAGTAAGTTGCGGTGGTCAGGGTAAACCTGCTGTTTTGTCTGTCAGGCGGAAAATTTGTGCAGTTAGGCAACTGATACGGAAGTCAGTCAAGCGAAGTTATTAGCCCGGATGAACTTTTCGCAGAGCGGGGCGTTTAAGCAGATTAAGACAGTTTTCTTTCATAAGAAGATAATAGGTACTAACCAAGTATCCATCGCGGCGTCACGCACGACTTCTTCGGATCGTATAAACCAACAACGAGGTCGGCCACAAGGAGGCGTCGCGTGATCTAAAAATGCACAGAAACAAAAACACAGTAAATAATTGTGCAGTATAGAACGAATTAAAACAAAACACAACTGTTAAAGCAAATCTATAAGCAGGTATAGGCGTTCGTAAGGAATCCATGAGATCTATGCGCATATGAAAGGTATGAAAACTGTTCAATTCCAAACGTTATCTACTCAGGACCTTAATTCCGTCCTGATTGTTTTCCATATAAACGTTCAAAACAGGGGGAGGACTTAGGAGAAATCAAATTGCTTCTGTTAAATGAAAACCTGAATCGGCCGCTTGGAGGTTGTCTCCTCAAGCTGCTTGGTTGAGAAACCTAGTGGCCAGGCAGTATCAGCAGACAGGCCACTTTGTGGTCCCAGTGACGTTGCGAGATTTAAAAAGGCTGCCGGACCTCGGTCCACGGTCACTGATGGCCCGTGACTGCTTATTCGTCATGCCCGAGAATCTGCTTACTTTGCAGTTTATATTTCGCGGCCCAGCACTAGATGCCATCGGTGGGCGTTCCATATAGCTAGAAGACAGAAGAATAAGGAACTCCCCTTTCAAACTACATACTGAGCAAACCGCAATGTTCTTGATCCGTGCTCTGAATAATTCGATAACCCAGGTTGTGCTAAAAAAGAGAGGTCTAATCGGGTGCAGACGCGTGAGACATCCGCAACTTACTGTGCCTCCGCCGAGGGAAATGAGTTCCTTCAGAGCTTCTGACGGTGGGGCGGTATCGGGTGCGATGTAGACATTTCCGAGGCCAAAAAAAAGCTTGGTTAGCCGCGTATGTACAACGGGGGGTGGCAGGCCAGGGACCTACAAAAACAAATAATAAAGTAGGTTTACTAGCGACGTGATACAGATATGGATGTATATTTCACAGTTCACAGTATTTACAGCGGCCTCCCTGGGGAAGGGAGGACACAAAAGGCTGCACTATGCGAACTACTTATTCTGCTCGGTTTTGTCGGTGCGGGTACAAGACGTAATACAGCGCGACAATCGTGGAGCAGCAACAAGTTTGGAATGAACTCAACTTGCAGCACACATCGACGACTCTCCACAACTTCGATATTCAAGGAGCGACCATCGTAGGCCGAGGAACCTTAAAAGCGGAAGGACTGACACTTGAGGCATGGTACCCAGACGTCAACTCCGTCAACAAGCATCTAGACCTCCTCACGGCCTGCAAAGTCCTACATCATTACGACAGTAAGGGACAGGAAAGGTTCAAACCGAACTTAGGAATTGCAAACGAAGACGAACCCGCCGGAAGAGGAAGCAGGGTTACCAATATCCCGCACCGTGAAGACAAGGCGTTATGCTAACGGCCGTCAACGAATGCCAAAATCCAGGAGCCAGGCAACGAACGAAGGAAAATCGATCAGCCTAAGGTCGATGCGTTCAGTGATAAATTCACATTGCTGATCAATAACGGCAGTTTAAGCTTTGACAAAGGAGAGCCGACCCAGCTCTCCGACACGTCAGCGAATACATAAACTCATTCCGGTGAGCACTAACATGATCTCTGAACTCAACTAAGTGGTGTAGTCGCCCAACAAACCGTCATACGTGGACGTGTATATCATAACAGTCACAATACTGAATTTCAATGCGCAACCTGGGAAAAAACGATTTCCGTGCAGTCTGTAACGAACTTGTCCACCGAAGAATCCCGTAGGCCTATCAGATAAGGGAATGGAAAGGATTCTTACTTACCACTTGCGTTTCAATATTTGGGAAAGTTGCGAATTATCAATATGGATTTAAGACGAAACGTAGTATGGTAGACCAACTGTTCGGACTGCCCGTTTTCTACGGGGCTAATCGAGCGTACTGTGCTTGCGCAATAATGGACTCTTCCGAGGCGTATAACACTGTTCGGCGTGATTCCTTGGTATGAAAGACGGCGGGCGAAGGTGTCCCTTCTCATTTTTAATTGCTGATTTTCAAAATGGGAAACTAAACAAGTGGCCTTCAAATACGAAGGCCCACAGGGCTCGGTTACCCGGTCTTTTCTGTTTCTGTTCGACGCCGAGGATATAGTTCAGTATATTTAGGGTAGTAGGCAATGCCTTTGAAGGGCCCTATTGAAAACAGTATGCATGAAATATCCAACATAAAATATGTCACTATAAACATGAAATATCCAACATAAAATATGTCACTATAAACAGTGAGTAACATATATATATGAAATATGTCACTATAAACAGTGAGTAACATATATACATGTACAAATTTTAACATGTGCGTGTGAGCAGTCAGAATGATAAAACAGTGAGTAACATATATACATGTACAAATTTTTACGTGTGCGTGAGAGCAGTCAGAATTGTCTCTTGCGTACATAATATATCCAACATAAAATATGTTACTGTAAAATAGTGAGTAGCATATACAAAGGGATATATATAAAGTGATGTGAGGTGGAAGCTACCCTTGCTGGTCAATACACTAACGAGGTGGCAACGTAGACACAAAACAAAGCCTTGAAAAAGATTCAAAATACGGCGCATGGGTTGGTGACAATGTTTAAAACAGCAAAGAGAATAGGGGATTAAATTGTCCTCTAAAGATATGCACAAAGCCCAGTTACAGCTAACAATATCCACTGGAGATCAGGTGGTTTCCATCGGCCGAAATTCCGCCCACCGTCTACAATCCTCAGCTAAAGTTTTGTGAGAACGTGAATGTTCTATAAAAGGTAGCTAAATGGTCATATTAAGGTTATTTTTCAACTAGCGAAGACGAGCTGAGGGTTGAGATCGCCAAACTTAGTCAGTTCGGTCGTAAAATATTGCCTCTGGCCGAGATGTCAAAATAACTGAAGTATGATTTTGTGTAAATTGAATGTGTGTCAACAGTAGATGAGAGGATACCTTGAAAGAAACTGTTCTTCTGCCGGCGGATTTTCCTTTCGCTGCCATCGGAGCACGTCGGCGGGAATCAACCGGCCTTGGATAATGTCCCTGTTCCAGGGATATCAACCACTAAGAGAAAGTAGCGCCCTCATAACAATCAACTGGAACGAAAAGGATGGGCTGGTGGGAAAAGACCAACCCTTCGTGGCCAGACCATGTCCTGGAATTACTTTCAGAGCATAGAAGGAGCCATCCAACATGAGTCCAAAGCAGCTGTCGGCCAAAGTGCCGTCTATAGGTTTCGTAATTGGGAGCGATAGGACAGGACAGTCTTGAAAACGGTTCAGCAAAGGCAGGACTTTGAGCCGGAGGCCCTTGCATCCTGATCACAATTTAGCACTCCCGAGACCCTAATATCACAAAATGGATCAGCGTCCCCTCAGGCGGATGGTCATGCGCCTACCAGGTCGAATTGCCGACAATAGGAACAACACAAAAAGTTAGACTGGCACAGTCCCACGGCCGGACCTAAACTCTCGTTTCCTGTTCGACAAGAGAACAAGCCTTAACAAATTCCGTGTTTGATCGAACAAGGAGTCAACATTTTAATATAGTGGATAAGCACTTTCGGGAGTTCAGTATTTGGGTAGGGTGAGATACTGACCATCAATTTGGAAGTCCGGACCTCATGCAGTCAAAAAAGTGCTACCGTGCGCTTGCTTGACGTGCTGAGAGGTGTCGTTTTTGTAGGCAACAAGTGTAATAAGTAACTTCTAGCAAGTGATCAGGGCGCTGGGTGGAAAGGCTCTTACTTCTGATTCAACTTGTCGGCCGACTACCCGGGTTATTAGGCTGAGAAGGTAGGCATGCGGTTCGAATCCTTAGGTGGACGGATAGGCAATGGCAAACTCGAAAAACATACATTCAACTTAGTTCGATACAGTTAACAGGGATAGATTATCACTTTGGCAACTTCTGATATAATTACATCGTGGGAGTAGGCACAGGCGAAATTCGCCGTGCAGGGTTCTAAGGTCAAACAATTTAGGTAAATGCCTGCTACTAATAATTAAGAAAGTAGAAAAGATTATACGATTAATTTATTTTTATCGCACAACAGGAAACTTGATGATGGGTAAGTAAGACTTAAAGAAACCTGAAGAAGCAGACTAACGCGAACGATAGTGCTTCAAATGTAACCTTGTATGTGATCAGGCTATTACAGAATTTTTAATTTTCGCAGCAACGTTCAAAGGTAGGGTGAAGAGAGAAAGACCACTCCTGCCATTGGGCGGGCGGAGAGTGAACCGAAGGCCGTAAAATTGTACTTTGCTAACAACAAATTCAAGTCCACACTGATAGGGTGGCCGTGTATCTTG